AAAGAGTGTAAGACCAAGGCAGACACAGAGTTCATTCATGTTCCTTGGTTCCCCAGCTTCCAACAAATACACTGCCCATGGTAAGATCCCAGTGATAACTGATCTGGGCTACAGCCTGAGCTACTTAAGATGGGCTCCTCTCCAAACACGAGCCACCATAGCATGCAAGACAGCCAGCCTCCACATTTCTGCCTCTTTTTAGATCTGAGAGCTCCTCCATCATCCCAGTAAATGTAGGACATTGTGGTGTGGACCTGATCCCATATGCATAACCATGTCCCTACCTCTTCCTACAGAGGCCATGACACAAATCAGCAAATCCAAACAGAAGTCCCTGGAACAACTGAAATCTCCAGAATCCACCAGGATACATGCAGAGGGCAGTAAATGACTTCTCACAGGAGGGAGGCTGCTTTGTGGGAAAGGGAAAGGACAGCTCTAAAACCTCCTCTCCTCTGAAAGGAGGGCCGACTGGCCTATTTCACAAAATGGGATCTCACACTCACTCTTTGTGAACTTCAGATTTATTATAAAGGAACAGACCTGCACAAACTGAACGTGCAGGTCGTGATGGTCAGAAATGTATACAGCTCACACACCACCATGGTTGCTTTGCTGCTGACAAATAAATCTTTGTGTCTCCTTGCCTCTGTCACTGACCAAATACACAAAGTTTCAGCAAGAAGATGCTTAGCTCTCCTAAATGCTAAATGTTTTGTTCCATTATTTGTTGGCAGAAAGTTCCTCCCTGATTATCCCTTATCCCTTATCCTAGCCAGCATCACTGCAGAGCCTACTTTATTTTCTACACATAGGTTTTCTTTTCTATTTCTTTTATTTTTATTTTTAGCTCCAGCTGCTTGTCCACATCACAAAAACAACCACATGATCTGTCATCAGAACTGTCATTTTCTGTCAAGGGTGAAGCCTGTGCACAGAGGAAGAAATGAGCTATGCCACAGGACCTGAGAAAAGCCCCTTGGCTGCAATCGCTGAGTCTGCTGCAGGATGCAGCAAAACACAATCATAAAATCAGATGAGATGAGGCTAGCAGCCACCCTGAGCAGTCAGCTCCCTGGCCTTGGCTTAAGGCAGGAACAACTACACCTATGGCAATCCTCACACATTTGCCTAGCCTACTCCTAAAACTCTCCAGCGATGTGACTCACAGCCTCCCCAGATCATCTGCACCAGCATTTCATTGGCCTTGCCATCAGATCCAGTTTTTCTCATGTTTAACCCCAATCTCCTTAGCTGAATTTAAACCCATTACTTCTTGTCCTGTTTGCAGGAGTCTTTAACAGATTTGAAAATCACTACTCCAGCTCTTCTTGACCAGCGCTTTTCTAGACTTCTGCTGCCCTAACTTGCTCAGACTTACCTCATGGGTTGCATCTGCTTGAAGCCCTTGTAGCTTCCTACTGGACTCTCCCCTCTCCCCAAGTTTCATCAAACCTTTCTCAAGATGCAGCGCCCCAGACTGGACACAGCACTACTGATAACATTTTGTTTCAGGAGGGTTGCTTCCTTGTCTCAAGCTACTCTCAGGCCAATACATCCCCAAGCACACTCTCTGGAGCTCTGTGCTGATGGTACCTGCCAACACAGCGCTTGGCTCTTGCTGCTGATACAATCTTTCAAATTCACCTCTAAACTAAGGGCAAGCAGCAGCTCATTCCTAATGCCACAGCAAATCTGCTCAGCTCCCCATTATCTCCTGCAGGATTATCCAGTTTCAGCATTAATTGTGTCATGTAGGCAAAGACAACAGGGCTTGCTCCATACACGCAATTCAACTCAATGACAAAGTTCATTAGCCCACACAAGGCACCATGCGGCTGCAGTTACACCTCTGGCATAACCTTCACAAGCCAGTTTAGAATAAACATTTCTTATTAGTTCAGATTCAACACTAGCCTTGCAGTATTGGAGCCAGCTCTGTGTCGATTTGCTTCGGTGCCTCTGAATTTTTTTCTGGAGCTACCAGCTCCAAAACTCACCAGATCAAGCACAGATCTGCTAGACAGTCACTATATTATTTCTGATATGCAGAAAATTAACTCAGGTAGGAAGCAATCAAATTACTGGGCGGGAGGAGGTCCATTACGCAAGGTATCCGACCTACTCATTGCTATGGATAATGGCAAGCCCGTGCAGCAAATTCTGTCACATCCATCAAAATGAAATGCCAACCTGAAGGAATTTCCAGAAGATAATTTCACAGGACAGTATTAGAATGCTACTTAAATGAATTTCATCCTCTCTACTACAAATGCGTGCAGATAAAAACAAACCATAGGATACAACATGTTTCTACCTACAGACACTAGTACATTGGCTGAAATCACATCGCTATATGTTAATCTCTAAAAACAGCACAGTTGGCAGGGGCTGCTACTATTCTTAAGGCGGTGTGCGTGTCAGGAGCATGAGGAGGCGTGAGAAGGATCCCAGCATGTGTGGATAGGAAAGGGTGGAGAACGTAAGTGGCAATTTCCTAGATTTGTAGTGATTGAGTTGACAGGATCTGCAGTTAAGCAACCTTGACTCCAAGTTAATAGGGTTTCTGATTGGGAGGTAATTTCCAAGGGTTTTTAGGAGTTTGTATCAGTGCTGATAGTCATTTACATGAATAGTGATAATGCATTATCCTTCTCCTGTCTTCCCACTAAGCCTTTATGTCTCCTCTACCTTAACCTATCCTCCTTGATGGTTCCCTGCACAGCTGCATTCAACACTTTTTTAAGAAAAGGCTGATGTACAAATGTTTCCCCTGCCAGAACTGGTGAACACTTAGCCATTAAAATATTATACAAAATTTAAGCAGACCATGACAAGTGAAACTGGGAAATTAAATTCAGCCACTATAAAACACATTGCAGAAGGAGTCCTGGCTTCTTCTAGCTCAGCTATCAATGCGGAATTTGCTGCAGAGCTGCCAGGGGTTGCCCAGCATCGCTGTGGTATCTAGCGGTGCAAGTGGTTACAACAAAGACAGGTACCCAAGGAGAAGGAAGGGCACACGGTAGGGAAGGGCACACAGGACCTACCTCGCTGGCTGAGATTGGCGACCGGTCGATGCCCCTGTTGACAGACTCCCAGGACCTGGCGGTCAGCATGCAGGCAAAGAGAGGGTACAAATCCCCTGCTCCAAGCCGCCGGCTGTACTTCTGCACCTTCTTCATATCAGCCTTGATGAGGGCCTGCCAAAGGCGGCAGTAGTCCATGCGGAATGACTCGCTCAGCACCTGGGGAGGGAAACATGGCCCCCAGAAGTCCACGAAGGACAGGGAACTGGGGGGAAAGCCCTGTGCCCCCAAGCTGTGCCCCATCCCCCACTTCAGAGCCAGGAAATATCCTTGGAGGGTTATGGGAGTAATAGGAAAAATGTATTTATATGGGGTTAGCAGGGCTAGGCTGCAGCTGGGCGTGCTCTTTCAGCCTGACACCCACAGGCAGCCTCACAAGGCCCTGGAAGCCCCCCATAGTTATGTACCTGGTAGAGCCCATGGTCCAGGAGGATAATGTGGGCCTTGCCAGAGGCTGGGCATTTCTTCACAAGCACGTTGCCTGGGTGTGGGTCACAGTGCACAAAGCCGTTCACAAAGATCATTTCACTGTAGAGCTTCCCCAGGTTGCGAGAGATCTGTGAGGAGACAGGAGATGGTCATACACTGACACCCACAGCAGGGTGCCTGCTGGGGAGGGGAGGCAGCCCCTGCGTGCCAGCACTGCGGGGAGCCAGGGTCTGGTACGTGCTGATACCCCCACATGGAGCTCTTGCAGCTCCTCACACTGACAAATGCACAGGGTGGCTGCTGGCATCTACTGCATGGAAACCCAGGGCATTCAGGGAAGGATCCATGCAGCGGGCACCATGAAGATGTTTCTGGAGTCAGGGTTTATTTAAGGACACTTGCATCGCATCAAAAAGAGAAAATACCTGTGGGTAGGAATGGCGTTTCTGGTAATGAGGAGGAAAGTGAGACAGTGGATAGGAGCAGACAGGCATTCAGAGGAAAGGCATGGAAATTGCTGTTGGGGTGGGTGAGAGACGGCTTGGAGGAAGACTCAGGTGTTTCCATCCGTGGATGGCAGCAGGTCCCACCAGAGAAGGGGTGGGAGGAGACTCAGCCTGTCCATCTGTTTACCAGAATGAACATGGGTTCCCTCTCCCCTCCCTCCATCATGCTGTCCCCCACTTTTTCCCTTCCTTTCCTCAGACCCATGCTAATCTGATTTGCAATGTCTGTGAAGATGAAGCAGCACAGAAAGGCTGCTTAAATCATCCTGTCACTGCTGCGTCCCTCCGTGCCGCTTCTCCTTATCACCAAGAGATGTTATTAAAGTTAAAAACTTCCTAGGAGCAAGCAAACATCCTCAGGGTCCAGGATCAATCCCTTGCCATGCACTAACACAGCAGCCTCACCCCGACATCTCACCGCCGGCCCTCCCTGCCATCAGAGAGCAGCACGGTGCTCCACAGGGGAGTGCTGAACAAGCAATTAAAAGACAATCGTTACAAATGATTCCAAGCATGTCCCCACAGTGTAAGCAGCAAACAGGCAGCTGTTCTCATAAGCAGAGGTGGTAGAAGAGGTAATGGGGATACTAACGACAGCTTGTTCTGCAGAAAACCAGATAGCTAGGGAAGGGCTTGCTCTACCCACCTCTGAAATGCAGCCACCCCTGAGAAGAGCGTTTATTATGAACACTGTCGAAGCTACTACAAATGAGAATGAACAGGAACCCTTCCTGCAGCCCACAACAGGGACAGCTATAGGACCAGGTAGGACAACCTTCCCTTCCTCAAGTGGGGCCTGGAGGCACTGCTGAATCAAGGAGAATGCTGACTCCATGCCGAATCACCCACGCAGGTGGCATAGCACAGCCCTGTGGTCTTCTGTAGTGCAGCTCACCTAAATGCCACACAGGTGTTATTGCAAGTACTGACTGAGGGGAATGATGTTTCCCTTCTGAATCACCAGCAGAGATCACTGTGAAGTGACCTTTATAGGTCTCCTAGATCAACAAGCTCTAAAATTGGATGGGACCAAAGTACCAGGTGCTGTCACCTCCTAGAAGAGCTAAGCAGCATTTGCTGACAGTCCAAGGATATACCACATAGTCTGTTTTAAGTTTTAAGCCAGTCACTCATTCACACAGCCTTCCAGGGACCTGCACGCCAGGAGAAATGGACTTGGACATCATGACTGATCATAGCATCAACCATAACAGCTGTGCACACACTGAGAGAACCTCATTTTGCCCTCTCTGCCTCAGCTATTTGCCCTCCAGGGACCTGGAAGAGCACAGAATTATTGAAGATGAGGACTTGCATACCATCTGGGGCACAAAGTGATGCCTCATACCCATTAAACACAAGTCCAGACAGGGGCTAGCAGTTCTGCAAACCTGTTGGTTGGTCATGGCTAAAGCCTGGAAAGCTATTAATTTGGGGCACTGGAGTATGGGCTGCACCAAAGAGAGCAGATTTTCCTTCTGTGCTGTGGTAACAGCATAGGTTAGGAAAGTCAAGCAGTGGAACAAGTTGCCCAGAGAGGTCGTGCAATCTCCATCCTTGGAGGTTTTAAAGGCCTGACTGGATAACGCCCCAAGTAAGCTGGTCTGTCCTCATAGCTGACCCTGCCTTAGCAGGAGGTTTGATAGGAGACCTCCTGAGGTCCCTTCCAACCTCAAATATCCTAGGATCCTACAAAAACACCTCTTACCAAGTTATCCACACCACCCTCATAACAGCATCTTAAGGTATGGCTGTAGGCTCCAGATGCAGGGAAGGTGTCCCCTCCTGAGTCACAATCAGCAGACACGTTACTAAACAGGTCTGTGGTCATAGCCTTTTGCAGCCCACGATGCAACACAAAAGCAGCTCGGGATTCATCTTCCCATCTTACCATGAGAACAGAGGGGTCACAGCCCTGTTCAGACCCACAGGCTGGGTCATGGGCACAAGACAGTCTTCACTGCAAGATCCCCATCCTCCCTCCCTTCCCCGCTGTACTTATATTTACCTCTTCCCCAGCATGCAACCTTGAGTATCTGCAGTAGTTAATTCATTGAAATTGGACTTTATGGCTTCTCTAAGAAAGAGGAACACATTCTGTATAATTTAGTTCGCATACAGAAGATATGTTACAGGGATTTACGATATAAGCATATAAACAGTCTTTACGTTTGGAAAAAAAATTACTGCACACTAAAGTATTTTTGCATATTTTTGTCTGTTGACATACCTCTAAAACAGGATAGAAATTAAATTAAGATAGAAAGCACCAATACTGTCAAATTCTAAACAAAAAGGAAGGTTATATTTCTAGGGCTTAGAGTGTAATATGTGAATAGTGACCTATCATTATAATTCAGATGAAAGGAGTTCATGTTTCTAGAGAAAAAAGTTTAGGGAAAAAACACAAAACCTTTATGTATATTAATTCTCCAGTGCTGTTTCCCATCACCACAGGCCTTTATTCCACCCTTATTGAGCAGGCCACTGGATAACTAACACATACAGAATTCACTTTGGAAGAATGCAGTTAGGTAAAATGAGAAAACAAATGTGTGAAAACCTCTACTTGGGAGAAGGGAGGAATTCAGCATGCATTAGGCTGTATAAGACCTCAGGGTGAAGGTGCATTGCAAATTAGACAAAAGGTTGCAGTGATTTACAGAAGCAAAGACGAAAGTAAACACATAGGCATTTTGTTATGACATGGAGAGGTCATCATTCCTTTCCCCATTTATCATCCAACACAATGAGGTCCTTATGATTACCAGGGTCCCCCAGCATTGTTCTGCTGCACATCATAAAAAAATAATAATCACACTTGGAATCCTACTTTTACTTCCAGATACCTCATTAGCAGAGAGATACAGACTACAGAAAGTGAGTTCAGAAAAAGCAAATAAATGAGCAGGATTCAGGAGGAATTTACGTGGGAAAAACATTAAAAGAGCTGAAGATTCTGAAGTTGGACAAGGAATGGCAGAAGGGGCAATCTACCAATGTTAGAAGGTTTGACAGCAAGGAAGCGGAAGCACTTGTAGCATTGGATGTGCTACAAGAAATACAACTAGGCAGAAGGGGGGGTAATCAAGAATGGCATAATTTAGGCATAACACATAACAAAAAAACCCCGTGCTAGTCAACAAGCAGAGCTGAGCTGGATATGTGAGGATGACACCAGACTCTGGCTCTGGCCAGAGGCATGCCCTTGCCTATTGCCAGAAGGTGTGTTAGCGCCTAAAAGAAGTTCAATTTGTCTTTCTGTGCTGCAGCAGAACATGATGACTACAGTCACCAAGTGAGCCTGTGGCCTCACCAGTCAATGCAAATAGCAACCTGCCATTGCCACATTACGTGACACGACCATGACACTGTGTCAGGCAAACCGCACATTTTCAGTGCAATGTTTTCATTTTGAAAAAAACATAGCTGAGGAATAAGCAGATTGCAGACAAGGAAATGGAGAGTCAGCAGCCTGGGCAAAAACAATGGAGTGACAGATAGATGTATAACAGCCAGACTTGGAGTAACTCTTCACCAAACTAAGCATATGAAGTTAATTTTATGTACTCAATATGGCAAGGATGCTACATGTCACAAACTATCCTATGCAAGTTACAAGCCAATAGAGAAGAAAATAAGAATGCAGTGCCAATGTTAAGGATTGTTATTGTACAGTATCACACACTCTCTCACTGGCCAAGTTCACTGGAAATGAGAAAGACAGAAAGCATGATTTGGGAGGCTGTTCCAAAAATTCACCCCTTAGATGGTCAGAACCATTCCCCTAAATCCCAGCCTAATTTTAACGATGGCCAGTTTAAATAATTTCCTTAGTTAACATAATCCTAGGGTTTAACTAGTTCCTTCCCTCTCCAGCATTTACTACTCCAGTGTGTTCACCAGTAAGATAATTATCAGCATAAATACTGCCCCATTTCTACAGGATGATCCTTTATCTGACGTGTCCCAGGAGTCAACCTGCCTTTTACACAGTCATGCTGCACTGGGCACACTTACCCTGCGACTGACTAATATCCTAAAGTTAATTCTAATATGTCACTTCCCTCTGATAAACTCCCAGCATATTTAAAAAACAGTTCTTACTAGTTTTTATGCGTATGGCTTTTCACTTGGTGTTGCTCATTTTTATCCCTTTCTATCACTGCAGTCCTCAAGGCCACCCAAGTGCTATTGCTACTCTAGTCCTCCTCTACAATGACAGAACCTCCCAACTTGATGTCATCAACAACCTCCTTCACAAAGTTCTGTTTGTGTCAAGGTCATAATTTATTTATTAAACAATACCAGTTTGAACAGCAAACCTCACAAAACTCCACTACTGTAATTTCTCTCCACCATTGCCTCTATCAGTTTCTTAGTTTGCAATTTGTCCACTAATCCCCACCTGCTCTAGTTAACCGACTCATATCCAGTGTACCAAGTATTTTGCCAAGTACACCTCCTGCATTTCTGTCATCTAATTCAGAGGATCCTAAGCTGTAGTATAGGTAGCAGCAGTGATATACTACTTCTTGTATGTGTACACAGCTGCAAACTGTTGCTGCCATCAGTTTTGAAAGCCTAGGCAACCCCTTACCCTCACATGATCCGCTAGGAGC